ATATTTATTCAGAGACCCCTCCCCCACAGTAAAGTTAAAAAACAAAAATATTTATTAAAAAAAATAAAATACAAATAAAATATAAAAAACAAAAAGTTTAAAAAAAAATTATATTTCTTTTTTAAAAGGTTAGAATAGACATCTTTTTTTGTTACTAGCTGCTGCTATCACATGTACCGTGGGAGCAGAATTATTTATTAATTAGCAAAGACGTATTGAAGGAGAGGAGCAATTGCATACACAAGGAACATTTCAATTCTGTCTAGAGGACATTGGCTACACAGCTGTTGGTAAATGTAAACCAGAAGTCTTTTATAACACTAAAAAATTTAAGAAAGAGGTGATTGGCATAAGCACACCTTGAATGTCGACTTTCACTTTTTACAGGTGAAAGAACACCTCAGCATACAGCAATGAAGGGGACAAGTACAACATGGATGCTTGCAGTGTTTAGGATTCTGGATCCAAACAAAAATATGCCTCAAGATTCCTTCAGTCTAGTTATGCACTGATTTATTAAGGATGTAATTGTATGTGACAGCTAATAACTATACTGTAAATGTTTATATAAATGAAAGTATTAAGTCTGGATGATGCTTAGGTGATCAGTGAACTTGGTTACATTAACAGCACAGTCATTTTATTGATTTTTTTTTTGGCACTTTGAAGGGAAAGTCCCTCTTTTGAACCCAAATCCTCATGTTCCTTCACAGTTGTATGTTAGGACTGGTGAAGGCCATTTCAATGTAGGCAAGAAAACAACTTGCAAGTAGAGGAGTTTGGATAGTAAGGCAGTAAAGCATTAAAGGAGAACTATGAGAACTATGAGGTGAGCGATTTACACTCATCCTCATAGTTACCAAGCCGACGTGTGACATTGAAACTGTCACACATCGACTCTATAGATCGGGAAGTGAGCGAACAGATACCGTCACTCGCTCACTTCCAGATCATCTCCCTGCAGAGAGCAGTAAGTGTTAGTCACCGCTCCCTGCAGAGATTCCCCCCTCCTTTCTCCAATCCTCCAGCACTGACTGGAGGAACAGACAGGGGTGAGCACGGCTGGCTTTGCCTCAAGATAGGCAGAGCCCTCTGCCAATCAGCCAGCTGGGTGGATCTCAGCAGTATTGTCGGGATCCATCCCGGTTTCAGCGCTCTCAGTATATAGCGGGCAATAACCCACTATATACTGAGCTTTGGGTCACAGGCGAGGTTAGTATATGTCCTCCCGTGACCCTAGAGAATACTATGGGATAAAAAAGTTACCCCATAGTTCTCTTTCAAGAATAACATACCTCTGCAACTGCCCTTTCCCTCATTGATCTAGAAAAATGACAATTGCATTATTTCAACTTTCAGCTAATGATCAAAATATAAATTTCTAGGTTAAAATTACATGAAATAAAATGTCTAACGGCAATCCTTTCAAATCATTTTCGTGAAGTCAATCCCAAAAATATGTATATGCTCTAACAAAGCTTTGATATTTTCTCCAATAATCATACATTTTAGACACCCTCTCAAGGAGCAATCTATGCAAAATGTAATGACTGATCTCATTTCTCAAACCTGCACCTTAAAAATACACAAATCCAAGTGTATAAATCTGTATAAAATGTAGTATTTGACTAGCAACTGAATAGCCTGGCCTAGACATTACAGTAGATTTTGTCATGATGCTTTCCAGATACTGGTACAGAGAAAAGGCTGTATACAAATATAATCCAAAAGTTTGTGCTTGTTTTCTTATTCCAGAAGCACAATGGAATTTGATTGTGATGGGCTTTTATTTAAAAGTGCCAGTAGATTTAATTTTACCGGTGTTGATTAGCACATCCATCTATAAATGCAATGTGTGCATTATGCACCTGAAGGAGTGATGAAATGATTAAGTATGATATGGAGTGTCAAAAGTGTATTTTGCCAAAAATATCTGGCATGAAAAAATGTTTTTGTTTCCTAGTTTAGAACAAATTTGTAGAGTAGGTTTTTGCTATTATTACAAAGAAAATGGATTTTGTGGCATTGTAAAACTTTCCTATTTGTCTCATATTTAATTCCCTGGTATAGAACATGAACCCTAAAACGGATACACAAGAAACCATGACGTTCTCACAATAAAAGTGACACCACCTCCCAGCTAATTTTTATTAGCAGGTGAGTGGGGTACACTGCAACACATCAATTACTGCTACCTGTTTACAGGTGACATACATTCCTAAATACCGTGACAAAAATAGGAGGAACCAAGATATATAATGCACAAGACTGGCAATAAGGGGATCTAAACCGAAGGGAAGTTTCATAGTGCTATGGTTATAAATATTTTCTAAAAACCTGAAATACAATACATTTTTTAAAAGGTGTTCAGTTCAAAAGCATTCATGAACTGCAATCACAGATGACTGACAATTATCTAATGGTTTTAAAATGGATATGAATAAGATCAACTAAGCTACCTAGTCTTTTAGCTTGCTTTGATTTAATTTCAGAAGCTTTTAAGGGAAGAATAAAATCTTTTCAGAGAGCAAATTCAGGTCATTAGTGAGAGAAAGGCTAAGGATTATTAGCCAGACTTTTTTTAACAAAAATATTTATCTGTTCTATTTAAACTTCATATTTATTCTTAACATTCAAGAATTTGGTTCTCGGTTTTCTTGGCATGCAAAAACAAAAATGTTATAGGAATAAATTGTGCACATTAACTAGACAGATAGGACACACAATGAAACATAGGCCAGTCTGGCTTATAGAATTTTGAATAAGAAAAACTTGACAAAAGAAGAAGAGCAAAGAAGTGCTGCATTCTAATAAGGTAATATAAAAACACATTTTTTAACATACGATGCTATCCTCTTAAGGAACAGATATTTGTTGCAAGAGGTCTTTACTGAGTATTAGAACTTGAATATTAATATTACTGAGTATTAGAACTTATATGAACAAAAAGCGCCAAATGGGACCGCTCCACCAGAGGAAAAAAAGTGTGCAAATAAGTACAAAGTCTGTTTTAAAAAAGAGAGATGTAATAGGAAATCTGCAGGACGCTGCCCCAAACCAGCCAGGGGGACTGCAAAATCTGGGGAAAAAAGACAAACAAGGGGAAACGTGTTTTTCCCCCCCGAGTATTAGAACTTGTCTGGAAGGATCTCTGTGCTTACACTGATCTTTATAAACAATGTATACACATAGGATCTACTAAGCCATAGTCTAAGATGGCTTAGGCCCTGTGCAAATGAGTGACATTTCAGCATCCATTAGCATTCAGCATCAGAGTTCAATTAAATTGAGCAGAAGCCCCTTTTCTTACATCCTATAACAATCTAATTCTTTCTATAACCTTAGCACACAGCTAACAACGTACAAATGTAGTTGCTTGGCAATACTGGCAATTCTTAGTATGAGTGGATGCGGTTTTATTCCCTGATAATGTGGGATATCGATTTGTGAAAATAGCATGCTGGAACTATTGGATATGAGGCTGGACACACTGTAGGAGACCAACCTAACCTCCTCAGGAGACGTTTTTTTTTTAAAGAGGTGACTACCATTCCAGAAAGTACTCTAGGATGCTATTTTTAAGTATGGTGTTACTGTGCGAAAGCAATGATGTCGCTGCATAAAGCACAACAGTGTCATAATGGTTGACAAAACTGCCAATTATGTGGCCATCATGAAAAGTATGATAGCTACAACCTTAAAAGGAGAACTATGGGGTTAAGGCTTTTCCCCATAGTTCTCCTTAGGGTAACGGGAGGACACAAACTAGCGTCCTCCCGTCACCCTAGGCTCAGTATACCGCGAGCTGTAGCTCGCGGTATACTGAGACGCCGCAGCTGAAGCGGATCACGACAATTGTGTCGGGATCCGCTCAGCTGCGTGAGTGACAGCTGGCTCTGCCTATCTAGAGGCAGAGCCAGCTGTACCCACCCCCTCCCCCGTCCGTTCCGCCAGTCAGCGCTGGAGGATCGGAGCGGGGAGGGGGAAATCCAGACCCTCCCCTGTCACGGCTCTCTGCCGTGACAGGATCGAGAAGTGAGCAAACGCCGGTATGTGTTCGCTCACCTCCCGATCTACTGAGTTGACCTGTGACAGTCTCATTGTCACAGGTCGGCTCGAACTATGAGGTGAGTGAAAAGCACTCACCTCATAGTTCTCCTTTAGTAGACTTTCCATTTAAGAGATTAAAAAGATGGAGTTTAAAATTAGAAAAAGCCAGGGACTGGATAACGTGATACTACTATAGGGAGTCTTGAAGGACAGATGGGTTCAAGAATAAAAATATACTCTGATGCATGATATATTGTACCAGACAACAGATTCATTAAGCTGATGGATCAGCATTACTCTTGAGCAAAAAACTGAACGGTTTGGAATTGATATGCATGACAATGGACCACAATATGTATAAAAATACTTTTCTTAGCCAGCTTCCTATGAACATATTAGGGCAGGAATGTTGATTAGGGTTATGGCAATTCTGGTATGGCTGAGAGAAAGATCCCAATTGTTGAACGCCAGGATGCACCCAATCCTTTTACGTAAGCTTCTCCTGTCACCAATTAAGCCTTTCTACCTTAATATTTTTGGTCGTGCATTTTAAGCTGTTTGCCAGTTGAGGGGCCAAATACAAAACAGCAAGAGTTGCACCAAGGAAAAATTGTCCAAGGATAATTTGCATCAATCTTAAAAGGTTCTTTGGGTGAAACCAAAATAAATCTGCAGGTGGGGGAACATTTGTAACTTGGCACTATAGCATCCAAAACCACTGGATTATGTTCACCTTTCTCAGCCTTCATGTTTTTCTCGGCAATGGATTCCTTTAAAGAAACAACATTAATGATAGTCTATAAAACAGAAATTTTATTCTAAGAGCTTAAAACCGATTATAAAATATAAAAGAAAACTGATATTAAAATAGCAGGCGGTTGCATGCGCAAAATCCAACCAGAGGAATGAGCACAAATGAAGTGATAAAGACCATGCACACTTGTACATACCCCTTGTTCATCAAGTTTTAGGAGTTGCTCTGTAACTTTTGGAGTGTTGAAGGCCAGCCGGAGACATTGCACATTCAGCTCAGGGACAATGTGGTCAAGTACTTCTTTAAGAGGCAAACCTCTTGCTGTACCATGTTTGGCAGTTGATGGAATAGCATCTTCAAGCACCGAGCCACGTAACGTCATGAGCTAAGAATAAAATATGGAGTACATGTCACATAACGTATTATCGAGCCGCAGACGGAAGTACTTATTACAAGGACATTTAATATTAATGCATGGTCTATAAAGTCAGCTCCTTCTACTTTCTCGAATAGAAACCAATTAATCACTGCTGAATTCTACACATTACTGCAGTGGATTATTCTCAATTATACATTTAAAACCTATTTTAAAACCTCTTCTAGATCAATCACTCGGATTAGGAACATAACAACGGTTTAGATAACACCCTTGTTCAAAAAAAAAAGAAAAAAATCACATTCACAATTTTTTTTAAAGGATTAAATGTGAAAAAGAGATTCAAAAGTCAAATCAGTAAAGGTGGGGTAAGCTACAACCGTTTAGACAAATTACAAGTGTAATTGTATATACTTACCACACACATACATAGATGTAGCCATACAATTTTGATTCGGATGTCATTAAAGATATTCAAACATAATACTGACATTCACTGCTAATGTTGCTGATGTCATTCACAACAACTCAAAATCTAGTGAAATACCAACTAATCTCGGTGTTCAGGACAACCATAGGTGTTTCTTTCAAGACCCCCACAGATAATCCATACTGTGGGAAAAGTGAAAGTCAAAGTGTTGCCCTTAGAAGAAAGCAGGTTTTAGCCTTCACTCTGTATCCAGTGCAAGAAAATGACTACTGAAATCTGCTTGGATGATGGGGCCCTTTATTCCACTTCACCTTTTCTATTACAGAAAAGTTATTTGGCGCTCTGTTACCTCTGGTTTGATATCGTACTTTATATATATATCTAT